GTCCAACAAATTGCTTAATCCTGAAAGGCGTCTCCTATCATCTCAGAAGCCCGAATGTGAATTTGCAGGTCTAAACCCGAGGCCGGCATCCGCAGAGACTGTGGATGACAGCTGTGCGTCTTTCTCATGAAATCTAAGGCCTCATTATATGATGCATCGGATGTGCCCAAATGGTTGAAGCCATCTTAATGCGCAGGCAGCTCTACATCATCCATAGAACTCCCCTGGATATCCCAATAAACTAGCAATGAACACCCAGCTTCCTTTTTTGCGCGGTAATATCTCAGGAAGATTGTTTACTGGGCGTGGGCGGAATTTTGTTTTCCATTTCACGTTCCATACGATGTTGCATTTGATTATCCATTGCGTATCAATCCCTGTACATCCCTATTGTAGAATACCCGAAACCCCAAACCCAATGTATTCCCTGCATTCCCAAGAGATTCAGGGTTGCTGCAGGCCTGGGAGACGGGGATGTCCGCGCGCCGATGCGAACGGGCTTCCATGACCCCGCGGGCTTCGGTGGTTATCAGACGGTTCAGGGATTGCATAGGGATTATGTAGGGGTTATCTATGGGTCACATCGGGATTACATGGGGATCTGGATCATACAGTGTTTCAGGATTAAATTTCCATCAAGACAGGGTTTTGAGGACGAGTGGGTCCTTAGACATACGGGGCATGCCTGTGTTTTACGTGGACCCTTCTTTGGCGTTTGTCGAGGATTCTTTGGGAACTCTTTTCGGGGGTATATGGCATTAAAATGGGCGTAGTAGGCGTAGTATTGTACTTCAGTCACTGTTGCGCCCCAAAGATGAAAAAGGCTGGGGTCCAACATTTCGCTCTCTTGAGCTTATGCTAGCGGCTTCATCCAAGAACCCTCTACCTAGAAAAAATGAGAATTCTCCGCTACGCCACTACATATTGAGAAACTTGTCTCATGTCAGCAGGGAAGTCTCAAACACAGTAATTATTGGAGTATTGAAGGGGTTTCATGATCTGTTCCATGGGGACAATGAGGGATCAGTTCCTTGATTCACTTCGACCAAGAGGCAAGGAAAACTAGGCAGGGGGCTTCTTCTTCCGCCCGCTGCATACGCAGAAACGCATGCTGTGGAAGCACTGACTCTCGGATACTGCTATTGACTCAGCCTGCCTTGGCGTTTGCATGGCATGCGGCATGAAGCCTAGCAGACCCAGCATCCAGGATGCTTGTAGCAGACCGAAGCGGAATATGTTTTCAAAAGATGTCCTCAGCAGGCTTTGGAAGCACAGGCGACTTGCTTCTGCACGTCATCTAGGCACTTGCGTGTCTTCTTCGGCCAGGGCTTGCCATGCTTATCTTTACCAGCTAAGAACGCTGAAATCCGAAGGTTCAGGTGGTTTATGGCACTTTTGCAAGGTGCCTGCATTTAGAATCTGCGTCGGCACTACTCCCAATGTCTGGTAGACACTAGATGACACAGGTCAGGAGTCCTCTCTTGGAACCGAACTGAAGCTGCCACTGCAAACCAGTGCAGCCTCCCTGTTTAGGCTATCTGTTGGCTTGGTCTCCCGCCGCGTTGCAATTCTCAAAGAGACAAGAAGTTAAATGATACGAAACATGCAAACAATGCTCAATGAACCGCAAAAACACGAATATGCGGAAGTCAGGGCAAAACCCTTTCCGAATTTATCAGCATCAGGAGACGCTTCTCACGGCGGATCCAGCCGAGCAGCGACGCCAGGACTTGCAAGCAGGGCTGTGTGCTTCGGAGTTCATACGCGGTTATAAAAGGCTTCTAAGTAGGACAGCTACAGGTAGAAATGGTTAGTTGTAACCCTAAACTACTCCACTCACAGCTACATATGAACCTCCAAGTAGGAGCCTGAGCAAACACGGGTACTGCTTTGGTATGCACCAGGTGTCAATGTAGCAAAAGCCCGAAGCCGTGTTCGAATTACGTTGGCTCCTGCATTCCGTATGGCTAGGTCTCCAGCACACCTCTCCAATCACCATTGGGGGTCCCCTTCCTCATATTTTACACGTTTTGAGTTAAGTGGACTTGGGACCGGCCAGGAAGAAGAGCGGGAGGCCTACAGGAAGAAAATCGAGGCGTGGGGATCGCACCAGAAGTGGGCAGATCCTCTTCGTCAGCATTGCTCTGGTTATGGGCTTCTTTAGTAGTACTGTTACCGTTGTTGCTGTTGTTGCCACATCATCTTCTTCGTTGTTATGTGTGGTCGCCGCCACAGCGGGAATAGGAGCAGGAGCAGAAATTTTAAGTGCTATGTGAGTATTCCTTGCCATCATTGGCTCCCACACTGAGAGGGCCTCTAGAACAACCATAGACAGGTCATGCTGTTGCCATGTTTACACGCATGTTGTATCTCCCCATACTGTGTCTGCCGACTGTCTATTTATCATAAGAACCATCATGGTTAAAGGTCATAGACGTGCTGCTGCTTTTATTCTTGAGGATCTTGATGGCTATGGCCCCATACAGCCTGGACAGTGTCCCTGCAAGTCTTCTGACATTCCAAAAGGCCGACTCCTTGTAATAAAGATTTTTCCGCAGAGGCCGAGCGCAAAGCCGCTGAGGAGCGTGCGAGACAGCAGGAGGAGGAAAGATACAATAAGGCTCCTTCCAACAGGGAGCCTTTTGCTGAGTCTATGTTTCTTGAGAAATTTCCATGTGATTATACATTGAACAGGGACAGGCTACGACAAGAGCTTCGGGGTTTGCAAGGCTGTGGGTTTGAAAGTCTTGGGTTTGGGGCTAGGCCTCTAGGCTTATGGGGGTGTAGGTGTAAGTGCTCAGAAAGTTTCTAGGACTCTACGAGCAGGATTTGGGTAGGATCTCGCTCGAGTCGGTCCTCTGAAGCGGTCTAGGGAAATATTTTTTCTGGCCTTGAGGAACACTACAACAGTATTGAGCCGGGTTCTCAGAACTCTTAGAGGAAGTCATTGCACGGGTGCGATGATGCGTGCTTTCGAAATCAGAGGTCCCTTCTGGCCTTGAGGGGGAGGCTCGCAATTGCAGCCATAAGGGCACCAGGCTGAAAAGGGTGTTTGTGGGCATATGCTGGTGTGTACGCATGCCTTGAGCCTTGTTTGGCAGGGGCTGGCGCGACAAGCGGAGCAACAGCGGTCGACAGCAGAGAAGCAGGTAGAAAGCTCTGCGGGGCAGGGGAGTATACCCTTTATTTCGTTGGCAATTGCATACAGAGAGCGCAACACATGATAGTTCTGGGTGTCGAGGTTTTAGGCAGTCTCAAGGTTTCCAGATTGCCACCAGGAGCAGCGACCTTCCTAGTGCAAGGTCGCTCAGGTATAAGGATATCGAGATGTAATTTGTACCAGAGTTGGGGATCAATGCCATTATGGTCTGGGTGTTATCGGAGCATGTTTGAGAATTCATAAGACTAGACCACCGGCCCTGCTTGACCAATACATGTGACTTGTTTTTGCGCGCCGCACTCATCAAAGCAATGCGCAGATGTGAATGCCTGAGGGTGTTAAGTACAGCCTTCGCAGAGGGCTCATGGGATTGAATGCTCTTGGTGAAGCTGGATCTAACCACTGTCTTGTCCAATCCTGGACTCTATGCACCCATAATGTTTATATATATATATACATATCACCTACATACGTCTACGTACCCCTTGCCCCTGTTAGGCTCGCTTCATGTACCAGTCACACGGGTGCACGGAAGGCTTAGGATCCCGTGAGGCCTTGGAGCGAAAAAAGCAGAAGATGGAGGAAGAGCAGGTGCTTTGGGGACATCCTCCAGAATCTTTCTGGGGTCTACAGGGTAGTCTAGGGTCCCTTGACAGTGTATACAGGGGATACGTAGGGGAAATCTAGGGTTTATGGCGGCGCTTCAATTCCTTTCGTTCATCACTCAGGCTTGGGTTGTAGCTTGTTTGGAAGAGGAGGGCCACGAACACAGACTGACCTTCGCCCCCTGTCCGAGTGAAGAGATGCGAGGAGCGCGCGATCCAACATACATAAGTGCTTGTAGGCCAAGAGGCCTGCCGGTCAGAATGTGTAGACGTTTGAGGCCATGAGCCCAATTCCGAATTTGATTCCCAAACACCCTCAGTCCCGAAACCTGAAGCCCAGACCATTCATGCCTCACGCATGGGCAGATCTAGAAGGAAGAATCCCAGTATGATACCCAATACCGATACCTTGACAGGAGCTGAAGGGGATCTACTTTCCAAATCATTTCAGGGCTCTGGGAAACAGTGGAGGCGAGGGCGCGACAGATGCGGGCAGCGCGGAGAAGGCAGCCTGACAAAGCCTCAAACGTACTGGCGGCTTAGTGCTGGAAATAGGGAATGCAAGAAGGGGTCCCTACAACTGTTCACAATCCCGTATCACAGTGCTCCTATGCCTCCAGTCCCTCCCAAACAGCAGTGAGCAGAACCAGGGGTGGGATCTTGATGCCGCTTGGTTTCAGTTTTTTGGTTGGTGGTGTGTGAATGTTGGGGGCAACACACTTGGGACCTGAGCATGTTCTGCGTATAGACTGAGGAAGCTGGATGTCGAGATGGAATGCTTGGCCCACATGCAACAACAGCTGACGTCCAACACTCCAGTAAACCGTCGAGAACAAGCCTGGTGGCATGCTTCACAAAACCTTTGACTACAACACAGCCAAGCCCTGCCCTGAAAATCTGAAGGAGATCAGAACCAACACTTGGATTCATGAGCCTCGCCAGCCAGAAGCTGAACTCCTCAGCTTTGCAGGGACGACAGCGAGGAGGAGGACGACGAATTTTGCGTCGCTCCGCCCGTGATGCCGGAACCCCAACACATGAAATCCATCAACACAGCAAGGACGTGAGACTTGGGGAATGCTTCCATATGTTGGCCTAGGTTAGCCGACCTCTCTGCCCAGCTCGCAGGTGTGGAGGCGTGGACTCCATCGGAGCAATCGCAAAGCACTAGAATCTAGAAGGAGGAGAGGGAGTAGCGATAAAAGTTGTACACGCAAGTATCGGTTTTGGTAGTAATGGCGCCGGTGTTGGCAGCTGGGGGCGCGGCGGCAGCTCCCGCAGACTGTAGTAAGCCGGATCATCACCAGCAGCATCATCATCATCAGACGAAATTAGAATCCTTATGGGAACCATTCCAAATCCTGGCTTTCAACAATGATGCGTGCATAATGCTTACAGTGTTACAGGCAACCCCCTCCATCCCGCCACCAACCGTGTGCTTGAAGGGCCAAGGGCATGTAATGCAGGTGGTGTGGAAGCGTGCAGGGTATGGGGATCAGCATCGTCAGCATCAATTCTCCTGTTAAGCAGCTGGGGTCTTCGTTTAGCGGTGGCAGGGAGCGGGGAGTCAGGGAAGGGAGGAGGGTTCGGGCACGATTCTGAAACCTACTTGCATAGACACCATCCCCCTTCCTGGACTGCTGAACAAGCATATGAAGCCTGCCAAAACCTGGGAAAATTGAATTGTAAATGTTATCGTATGGGAAAGCACTGAATGACAAGCAAGGATGTGTCCTTGGGCCCCGCCCCGGAAGTGGTAGGCAGATAGTCCTCTCACGAGACCCCATATGATCCGCATTTACCCCCCATACCTTGTACTGCCCTCACTCTGTAACAGTTGGAGAATATTGATCATATTTTTCTATATACATATATATATATATGGTAACCCC